ATCTGTCCTATCTTGTTCTTAATTCCTACATGAGTTAATTAGTCCATCTTCTATTCATATCTGAGATATACAAATCATTTTTCCTCCAGTTTCTATGTTAAAACATTAAAAAAACTGAGCTTTAACATCTTATTTACACCAACCATTTTTTTACATGGTTCTTTTTCTTTCTTTCCTGCATTACTTTTCATCTTTATTTTACCACTGTTGTTGTGTACAAGTTATTTTTTAATTAATTTACTTTCCAATTATAGTTGACATACAATATTATATCAGTTTCAGGTGTACAGCATAGTACTTAGACATTTATATAATTTATGAAGTAATCCCCTGATAATCTAGTATCCATCTAACAACATATATAGTTATTATAGTTTTCTCCAGGTTGAGAGCATTTTCTCCAGGTTGAAAGCAGGTGAGGGCTTGGTCCCATGTCAGGATAGAGGTGATAATCTAGTATCCATCTAACAACATATATAGTTATTATAGTATTACTGGCTATATTAAAACTTATTTTTTTATAAATAGGAGTCTGATCCTCAACTTCACCTACAAAACAACTGTGACACCTGCCCTCCTTAGTCACCGAGCCGTGTGAGACAATGATTAACTGAGCGGATCTGTGTGAGAGTACTTTGTGCATGGCAAGATGCAATGTAAAACGGAAGTCATTATCATCATTTTATCACCCAGTTATAGTTTATGTTAGTGAAAAACACTCATCTTCAGGTTGCAATCAATCAAACCTGAGTCTGGAAACATTCCAAATGTTCAGAGAAGACAAAAGTGTACAATGTATGTACTAAAATGTTATAGTAAGATTTTTTAAAAAGAGAGGTAGGGAGACGAGAATCTTGGGACATTTCAATCACTTGCTTTAGCAAGAATATAGCTATAAGTAGGAAAATCATACCTTCTTTTGAGCCGACCGTGTTGAAGTACCCAGCAGAAAACCCTCCACTGAAGGCTCCATGAAACCGCTTATACCTTCCTTTTTCATCTCTGACAGTCTGATCCTGAAGAGGAGTTGGTTTCTTTGGTCTCTCACCTAAAAAAAAAAATATTTTGAATGAGAAAAAAGAATGGGCATAGTGGATTAGAAAAAAAATTAAGGAAGATGTCATTTCTTAAATATAATGAATTGTTCACTTCCTGTAACATCAAATATAGTAATTTTAATTACATTCCTATTCCTAGACTTCACTAGCTTATATAGCTTAGGAAGTATTAATTTTACCAAGTTTCTTTATTGTCTAAAGCAATTATAGATGTCTTTTGTTTGTATTAGAAATATGTTTTAGAAAAAATGACCTGCTTTTCCCACTAACTTTCATTATGAAAACTGAATGATAATGGCCAGGGAGGAGAGTACAAATAGATGGAAAAAAATCTGCTGGCAGTGAAGGAGGCAAATTGCTGGTGTGGCACTTGGCAGGCATAAGTCTGCAACAGAAAAAATACTTCTATGTCTCTTCTAGAACTTCATATCATTCCCAACTCCAGAATTTTTCCTTAGGTATTGCCCATTTTTTCCAAATCTTAAGAGTTTCCTTATTTCTGGGAATCTTCTGATTCTATAGTTACTATTCTTTTTTTAAATATATTTCTATTGATTTCAGAGAGGAAAGGAGAGGGAGACATGGAAACATCAATGATGAGAGAGAATCACTGATCAGCTGCCTCCTGCACACCCCCTACTGGGACTAGAGCCCACAACCTGGGCATGTGCCCTTGACCTCTAAGGCTCTCACTATCTTTGTAGCCAGAGGAAAATGTTAAATTTCTGCCCAGCCTATTTGGCTCAATGGTTGAGCGTCAACCCATGAACCAAGAAGTTGGTTCAATTCCCTTCAGGGCACTTGTTTGAGTTGCAGGCTCAATCCTCCCCAGTAGGCGTGTGGGAGGCAGCCGATAGATGTCTCTCTCTCCCTCTCCCTTCCTCTCTCTCTAAAAATCAATAAAAACATATTTTAAATAAATTTAAAAAATAAAATGGCGATGACACTAATAGTAATAACTATTTCATATGATTGTTATGCAAATTAAATAAGATAATGCCTGTGAAGTGCTTAACAAGGAGAGAGACACACAATAAATACTTTTAAAGTATGAGGTAGTACTATTATTATTATCATTATTATTATTATTATTATTCACAATAGGTAAGATGTGTCCTAAAGTTCATCTGTATTTATTACTTCAATAGTTAAGCCAGTTACTACTTCTGGAAGATGGAACAAAAAGTAAAGGAACTTGCCTGGCTGGCGTAGCTCAGTGGTTGAGCATCAGCCTAGGAACCAGGAGGTCAGGGTTCGATTCTCCGTCAAGGCACATGCCTGGGTTGCAGGCTCTATCCCCAGTGGGGGTCATGCAGGAGGCAGCTGATCAATGATTCTCTCTCATCATTGATGCTTCTATCTCTCTCTCTCTCCCTCCCTCTCTGAAATCAGTAAAAATACATTTAAAAAGAAAAAAAGGATAGTCAAGAGTAATCCACAGAATGAGAGAGACTAGCAGATCTGGGCTCAAATCCCCTTACCCTGTTACTTGCTAGCTCTGTAAACTTGGCCAAGTTATTTGATCTCCATAAGCCTTAGCTCCAAAACTACAAAACGAGGGCACTAACAGAGCCTACCTTATAGATTGGTGCTGAGGATTAAATACCACATTCAGAGATCTACACACAGTGTCTGATCTTAGCAAAGCTCAGTTAACATCAGCTATAATTACATTTCACTCTAAAGAACTTGCAATTTAGGACCCACAATCCAAGATTTTCGCCATATCTTAGAAATGCAGTAAACACACTCGGTTAGGGTATGTGCACTTGGCATGATTTTTGGCAAAGGAGGGGTTTCTCAACATTAGCGCCTACTGCCAGTTTGTCGTGGGGAACAGTCATCGTGTGAAGGTGAGAGAGGCAGGTCCTCCCAATGCGGGTGCTGGTCTTGCTCTGTTCTCCAGATGCTTCTGCTCTGAAAGGGGAGGCGAGATCTGCAGATAACTGCACGGGACCCATGGCTGTAGATGATGAGGGCCAACCGCAGGACTCCTGAGGAGGCGCCACCTTTAACCACAGCATGGAAAACTCCAGGGAGAAGGTGGCACTTTAGCCAGGCCTGGTTATAATTATTGCTACTAATAATAACGAACCCCTTCTTGTCACACATGTTATTTCATTCATCATACCCTGATAAAGATGCTTTGATTAAGTATCTGCCCTGAGGTCCACAGCTAATAGCACAAAGCTGAACTCAGATCTCAACTCTGCTTCCAAGCCAGGGATGCCACCCATACTGTCCTTCACTCATCCCTGACCAAAGGTTTACTGAGGGCCTCACATGGAAGCAGCCCTGTTCTAGATCCTAGGTATGGAATACTGAATGCAGTCCCATCCCTGCTCCCAGGGTGCCCGGAGCCTGCAGAGGAGACCTGTGTGATACGGACTCTTCGGACAATGTGTAAGGAGAACAACATCATCGTCACTCTAAGCAGGAGCAGAATTTGAGAGCTGAAATACGAACACAATTTTCAACAGAGGCCTAAAAGGGTAATGTCAGATGAAAGTGGTCTAGTCTGCCTGGATGGCAGGGAAGAAATGGAACATGAAACCAGAAGGGAGGATCATGAAGAAGGCTTTGAACATGGTGCTGCAGGGTCTGTGATATGTCTTATGGGTGATGGGAGCTACAGATAGTTGCTTTTTTATTGATTTCAGAGAAGAAGGGAGAGGGAGAGAGATAGAAACATCAATGATGAGAGTAGCACTGATGGACTGCCTCCTGCATAACGCCCACTGGGGATCAAGTCCATGTGTCCTGACCAAGAATCGAACCGTGACCTCCTTGTTCATAGGTCGATGCTCAACCACTGAACCACACCAGCTGTGCCAGATCGTTTTAAGTGGGAGAGTCACAGCATCAAGGAGGAGGAAAATGGTCCTAAACAGTGATGGCGAACCTATGACACGCGTGTCAGAGGTGACACGCGAACTCATTTTTTTGGTGGATTTTTCTTTGTTAAATGGCACTTAAATATATAAAATAAAGATCAAAAATATAAATCTTTGTTTTACTATGGTTGCAAAGATCAAAAAATTTCTATATGTGACACGGCACCAGAGTTAAGTTAGGGTTTTTCAAAATGCTAACACGCCGAGCTCAAAAGGTTGGCCATCACTGGCCTAGAACTAATTTGTGTTCAGGATTGAAGCAGGATAGTAAGCTAGGGAAAGTCCTTGACAAGTGGGATAAAAGAAACTGAGACAAAATAATTAGGCAAGGCCAAATAATTTGAGCAATCTACAGCCAGCTAATAAATCACAAGATTTTATCTTCCCTAACCAAGGACACTTAGGAGCAAATGGGTTCCACATTCCAGACTGTCCCTGGGCAGACCAGCCTCGGTCCCAGTGCCTCTTCAATGCCTTCTTTACAAATAAAACTAACCAGAAAATAACCCTGACCTGTCTATATGCACATTTTGATGAATCAACATATTGAAGGATACGCCTGGAAAGCTAATGAATATTCAGTTAAGACCCTCCTCTTAGATCTCCCCTAGGATTCCAGCCTGCCAAGAAAAGACTTAAAGAGCCTCAAGACAAAGGCTCCACAGTATCTTTGCTCTTTTCTCCTAAACTTTAAGGGTCCCCACAAGCCTTGCAATCAGGGGAGCAGTGGGTAGCAGCATCTCGACCCAGGCTTACCCCCTGAACCTGTCTCCAAGGCCCCCTATTCTCTGACTTTCTCCTGTTGTTTCTTCTACCGTAAGCCTTTCCTTTATTTCACTGTCCCCACCTTCAATAAACATACTCTCAAGATCACCTGGACTCATGTTGTGAAATCTTTCCTACATGAAGTCAAGAATCTACACACTACAAGTGAGCCCTAGGAGCCCCACCTGGGGCACAAACCCCTCCGGGAACAGGATGAGCTGGAGGTGACAATTCTAGAGCCAAGTGAAAGTGTCTAAGGAAAGAGTAGGTAAGTACTGGTGCCCCCTCCTTCCAGGCCAGAGGGTCGATGATGTCTCTGGGTCTGTGTGTGACAGTGCAGCCAATAAACCTTTCTATCAGGGACAGCAACTTTAATTAAGTGGTGGAGTCTTTCCTCTAACAATGTTTGTCTAACCTGTCACTAAGACTTCAAAGCAGGAAGCAAAAATGATTATAGGTCTAGTATGTTACAATGTAAAATGTACTCAGAGTGCATTTAAACTTCAAAGTGCTTGGGAAATAATAAATCAATACTCAGAAACTTCTGGCTGGGTAGCTCAGTTGGTCAGAGCATTATCCCTATATACCAAGGTTGTAGGTTCGATCCCGGGTCAGAGCACATACAAGAACCAACCAATGAATGCATAAATAAGTGGAACAACAAACGGACTTATTCTCTCTCTCTCTTGTTCTCCTTTCCTCGCTCTATCTAAAATCAATAAAATAAAAATGAAAATATATATGTACATTTTTAAAAACTTCTAATAGTGAGAATGTAAAGGATGATTTCAGGCCCTGGGGGAAAAAAAAATCTACAAATCAAATGTCCTTTCCTTCCACTTCGAAAGCAAGGTTAGGCCATTAGGCTTCATTTCAGATTTCGTGCAACATCAAAACAGGAAGATTTAGAAAAATATAGGTCAAGTGGTTGATGACTTACATACAAGACGTCACTTCACAAGGAAACAACTATGAGACCAGAAATATAGAATATGAACAGCTGCCTAAGGTGGTTATGAACCACCACGCCCATTTAACCCTTGCCCTGCATAGCGAAGTTCAAACCAGTTTCCAAAGGATCCCATGCTGCCTTCTCAAGTTGTCCTGCTAGCTTGCATAGGTTATTTCCTGTCTACGTCACATACTTTTGCACTTGTGAACCTTGTACTTTCATTCTGTGGATGATAAGGGGGCTCTACAATAAATCTGACAAGACCAGTGACCTCATAGGGTGATCGGAACATAAATTCTTAACAGGCATGTCATGGTGAGTAGTCACACCCAAAGCATGTAACTTTTCTAGGAAGATTCATCTTTGCCTTAAGCAAGCTCTGTCATTATTCTTGTGTATCTAGGGTAACACATCTTTGAAATGACAAAGAAATCCTCTTTTTTCAGACCCCTCAGAGATGTAACCTCCCTCAAGGGAGCACATAATCTTGTTACTGCCCTGTAATCTCATCCCTACCTTGCCTTCTCTCAATTTCATTTAATCTTCTTTAGGTCCCCTCCTTAACTCCAAATGCCTATATATATATATATATATATATGTTTATGTTTTTATTGATTTTAGAGAGAGAAGAAAGCATTGATGTGAAAATGAAACATCTATCAGCTGACT